TTGTACGGAGATCCCGAACTCATTAATATGCAACACGTAAAAGCCCATAACGGCTCTTCACCTCGGTTCACCTCGGACCGGGGTCATTGTTGAGTTCTTTTTTACATGCTTTACGTCCAAACCGTTCATAATTATCAACTTAATCACTTGTTACATCGTTGTTACAAATCGCATAACAACAGTTTGGCGCTAGAGGAAGGGCCTCATAAGTGATTTGAGGTTACTCTCTGCTTTCGCGTGTAGCGATTCACGCCAGCCATATCCACCATGTCTCACTCAGATCATCGTGGTCACACCTCACGAGATGGCCACAGTCGCAGCGCCGCGCAATCCGCCAGACGACATGCCGCGGCCCCGCCTATAACGGATTATGCTGTTCTGTTTCAAAATCCAGAGTTTGCACGTGGTTTTGCCGCTCTAATGGCCCAAACGATTCCGGGAACCTCAACGACTGCTTCGGGACACTCCATTATTCCCACGACTCCCGCAAACCAGCAGAATCCACCAGCGCGACAAGACGGCGGAAGGACAACATCTCATGCTACATCTTAACCTCGTGATCGAATGTCGCAACCGCCTCCGGAACAAACTACGCGTCGCACCGACGTTGGACGTAACCCCCTCGTACTTCCTCGCGAAGAAACCGCAGAAAGTCAGTCTGGACATTCAAGACGGTCGCCACCTCGGGCCCGACAACGAATCACTTCTAATTCCGCGCAAATTGACCTTCGACAGCATATTGAAAGGAACCGGGCTCGTCAAGAGTCTTCCGAACTCGAAACGTTATGACGGAGGATTGCCGAATTGGAGAGTCGGCAAAGGGTGCCAGAAGACCCACCTCGACGGGCCTCAACTTCGGCACAAGTATACCTAGAAGCTGACTCACCCCTCACACCGGAGCTCACTTCGGAACCTGTGCCTGGGAAAGTCAAAGTCCCTCAAATTGGACTATATGATGGAACTTCAGATCCCGACTCACACCTCGGTCATTATACCTCGTGGATGGATCTGCATGGAGCATCAGATGCACTTCGGTGTCGTATGTTTTCTCTCACGCTGGGGCCTCGAGCCCAAAAATGGTACCATTCTCTTCCTCCTCACTCTATTTAGAAATGGCAACAATTGAGGTCGGCTTTCCGATCTCATTTCATTGGGGCTCAAGTCTGCCTAATCCCAAAAGAATCTCTTGCAAATGTCACTCAAAAAGACGATGAAAGTGTCAAGGATTATATTGCCCGATTTAATGACCGAATTCAGAATATGGAACCTTGTCATCCTGAAACTCTGCTTGTCATGGCAATCGCTGGGCTAAAACTGAACTCAATTTTTCGCTGGACACTGTGCCAGAATAAACCGAATACTTTTCAAGAATTTCTCGCTCGAGCTCAGCAACATATTATAGCTGAGGAAGCCATGTCGGTCCCCGACTTTAACTTTAATCCGAAGTCATCTAAGGCAGGAACCGATGATAAGAAAAAGAACAAATATTTTGAAAAACAAAACAAGACTCAGTTCAGGGGGCCTCCCCGGGGAGATCCCAACGATCCTGAAGTTCGAGCGGCCCGAAAACAATATGCTACCGATGTGAAGTCCGGTTATCAAACCATATACTCTGCAGGAGCAGCCACCATATATGAAGAAATCAAAGGGAAGGGCATTTTACCAGATCCCAAACCACTTCGGATGCCCGAAGAAAAACTGGACAAATCCCGGTATTGTGATTATCATAAATCGCCAGGGCACAACACGGATGAGTGTTTGAGTTTGTTAGCCACATTGTTGCGTTTGATTGGCCATCCGCAACTTAGAAAGTTTTACCGTAATACCGATCCCCAGAGGCGAGGTCCGGGACGTCAGATCGAACCCTTTGATGAAGACGATGAAGAGGACCGAGGTGCCATGCCAAAACGTATCCGACAAGGAGACAAGGAAGTATTTATGTTCACCTCGGAAACGCCCGATTCAGACTTTACCGAAACTGCCCGAGGACGTAAACGAGGTCGATCTTTGGAACCGATGCAAATCACCGTCCATCGTGTCAATACCAATAACTCCCGAGGTACATTGTCCCGTCGACAGATCAAGGCTTACGCCCGACAAGCCTACAACTCCAGCAAACAAGTGTACACTACAGATTTGAGAGATATCCTCAATAATCGGAATTGTCCCATAACTTTTAATATGGAGGATGCTAATCACTTCACACACTCCCATTCCGACGCACTTGTTATCACCGTCCCAATATGCGGAATCCCCGTACATCGTGTTGTGGTGGATACTGGGGCCTATTCAAGCATTTTGATGTTAAAAGCTTTTTACAAAATGGGACTTGATCCCGCCGACATCCGACCTTGCAATGACCAGATACAAGGGTTCAATGGCAGTATTTCGAAGCCTATCGGTGAGATCACTTTACCTGTCAGATTCGGCACTTCGGAGAATGTCACTAAGCTCGTCATGGAAACTTTCAAGATTCTGGATATTAATAACGAGTACAATGCCATCATCGGCAGAACAGCATTGTATAAACTTCGAGCTGCAGTTTCGATTTTTCACTATGCTCTGAAGTTCCCGACTACACGAGGAGAAGGGACACACTTCGGAGACCAGAGAGAAGCTCGAGAACTTATTACATTCATACCATCTAGCGGCGTCCATTCCACCTCGACAAACAACTCTCCATCACAACGCGTCTCGAACGACACGGCGTCCGAAGAACCGAACAACCACGTCGGTGATCATTCCACCTCGGATCCTTTGACCGAAGACCGAGGTCGCCGACATGGAAAGGAGCCACTTCTTAAAGAGGA